CACAGACCACCTCAAGATCCACTCCAAAGACATCTGCGTTTCGTGTGCTTTGCCTTTGGCGAACATAAACCAACTGAGGGCAATCGAAGGGTATCCTCCCTCGTAAGCTCGTATTGCATAGAAATATAAAAATTTAACATTGTTCAGAAAATTTCCTTCTCTTGTGTTTTCTTTTACCCTATTATTTTTTTAATGACGCCACTATAATATTATGCTGCAGCTGCCGATCGCGTTACTTGTACCCTATCTTTGTTAATAATTAATTTCACACGTGTGCGACCTGTCAATCACTCTGCTGCGTCGAAAGAATTTTTCTCATATTTCACTTAAAAATCATTCGAAGAGGTAATATTTGAGAAGGGTAAGGTGAAATGGAGGGTAGATAGGTAACTCCGAGATCATTAGAGTTTAAGCCACGGCACACGATGGCAGAAATGAATGGTTATTACAACTGGTGTATGTTCTTCCTGTCGGTGATTGGTCTTTGGCCGTACTGCAACAAGAAATTTCGGCTCTTACACAATGGCATCATCAGCCTCATTACTTGGTCATCTGTAATTTCCCAAGTATGGGTTACAAAGTTTGTTTTACGTACTAGTTGAAACAGTTATGAAAGCTTTCTAATGTATTGTTATTTTGCGACCAATACTGAACAATCTAAATATTTTTTTCAGTTTGCAACTATCTTCGCTGTGGACAAAGATCTGTTTCGGCACCTTAGGGATTTATCAACTGCAGCAGTGGCAGTAGCGGCTCTCACAAAGTACCACGCAACCTGGTATCAGATCAACGATGTACGTCATGTATAGAGATCGATTCCGCGTTTACGAAACATTGCAATAAATATTATTATGAACTGCAGATAAAGACATATCTAGATGAAATTAGACTTGATTGGGAAACGAATAACATCGAGGTACATCGAATTATGCAGATTTACGCATTCCATGGGAAACGTCTCGTAATCCTTTTTGCGGGTAAGGAAAATTTTAAGGGGCTTATAACTTTGATATTATTTCAGCTTATATATAAAATGTTTTACAGCATTCTTTTATCCAGGATTGTGTATAATAATGCTATACCATATTTCACCTATTATTTTGGATGAAGTACTGTCCTTAAATGTGTCACGTCCGAACAAATTTCCAGTTGATATCGAATTCTTAATTAACGAAGAGCAACATCCTGTTTACAACATTATTCTGTTATATCTATTACTGATCGTGAACATAACCACATTAGTTGGAACAGAATCATTCATAATTATGTCGAATTTGCATGTAGCTGGTTTATTTGATATTGCAAGGTTAGACTGCATTCAAATTATATCATAATTATTAGGCATTAAATGTATTTCTATATCGATGTTTTTCTAACTCGGTCGAAACCGATCTATTCAAGTATGCAAGAATGTTTCTACCGCGAAGTGAATGATTTGGTGTTAAAAAGTCTATTCATTTTTGATATTCGTATTGCTTACTCTTCAATAAATTATACCATATTGTCCACACCAAAAAATTTGTAGCTACTCATATTCTTATTTATAGTTTCTCTATCGTTTTCAATTGGCACAGTACAAAAGTCCACTTAAGTACTGAAAACATGAACAGGATAATCAGTTCTACAAACCAATGCACATACTTACGGCAGTTTCCAACAATTAATATACAGTTTTTAAAAATGTGAAATAAGACAAACCGTTTAAAACTTTATAAGGAACAGAATATTTTTCTTTTGTGCCAACTGCTTCTTTCATTGATTACCTACTTATTAAAACCTGAAATCATATGTTCAAGATTGTTTGGTGTAGCGAATAGTATCAGGTAAATCGCTTGCTTTGAAAATAAGAATGTGTATGGTTATATCAAGTGATTTTACATTCGTATTAGCCTATGCCGTTTATACTACAGCTTTATAACGTCTTCTCTATCATTCTCAGTCATTATTTCGAAAAAGCTATTCTTTCGGAATCCGTTGTATCATATCTTCCGCAACACTGTGAACATAACGAAACTATCGTTTACTTAGCTACTGGTGTACTTGTCCATCGAAAGGCGCTTAAGTAAGTACTTACAAGTAGATACCAGCCTATTGCACTTTTAAGTTCTACACCATTTCATGTATTCATCACGATGTTCTCCGTAATTTAGACGCTTCTCTTTGTAGGTATATACATGACTTGAAAGAAATGTACAAAGCGTCATACTGTTTTCTTCTTCTACTGGGTATTATTACTGCGAGCATCAGTTTGTTTCGCGTGAGTAGTTTGTACCCCACAGTTTTTGACGGATCGACTTGAATATTATTGTTCCATAAGACAAGCACAATAGGATTTTAAAATTTTTTGTTTGTTCAAGCTTTCTGTGACGGTGCTCCAGTTATCAAATATCGGGGAGACTATATTCTCTGTCGCGGTATTATTTGCTGTATATGGATACATGTTTTGGTTAAACCTTGCAGTCCAATACATGATTGAAAGCGCTAGCAGGATCTCTCTATCGACGTAAATGTTTTGGAATATTATGCGTACTGAACTTTTCTTGCTGACTTTTAACGTGTTGATCGCTAAGTACCCATATTATAGTAATACACGTCTTTTACATTTAAATGTGGCACTTATTTTACCAAAATTTCTCTGATCCACTAATAACTAGTTAGAATTGCAGACAAATTTATTTCCAAGATTTGCCGATATTGCTGTCAAACAGCGTGGAACAAATTGTTGATATGCTTCTATAAACCCGTATCTTGATATGTAACCAAAATTATTAATGAGCCATTAAAGTGTATTTTTTTTAACTAACACCTTTTTAGTTGTGCCAGATTTCATTCAGCATAGCAATGAGTCGTCCCCCCTATTTACAGGTACAATACTAACTGGTACGAAACATCTATTACAACGCAGAAATTATTGCAAATGATTATACTTAAAGGCAACAAAAGCGTCTCATTCAGCTTTTTCTCCGTCATTACTCCATCAATCGGAAATTTCGCAATGGTATGTTAATGTTATTTATAATCCTACAAAAACCAATATTCTTTAATGAATTCTTATTTTTTAGTTTGTAAAGGCATCAGTATCCTACTTTACTGTTCTGTTATCCTTGCAATAAATCTTCTGTCTGCTTGGTAAAGTGAAAGTAAAAAACGATTAACAGTGCAATATATTCAGAACAGTGATATGAATTTGTTGCTCTTTTATTTTGTCGCGTGTAATTATTTTTAATTACACGTAATACAATTTAACAATATAACTGACTTGAAAAATAGAATACACAATGCATGCGTAAATATCCCGTGCGAAATTATGGAAAACGTCGAGAACGAATTTGTAAAACGTATACAAACTTGTATTTCAAATAGCGGAAAGCACGTGGAATAAATTTTTTGCATATTATTTTTTGTTAAATTGTCTTTATACCTACCTTGTACTGAAACATTTAAATAAATGTCCCAACCTTCCAAATTACAATTAATATCATCTTCGATACGGAAAACTTAAACCGTAATGGACAAT